GCTTCAGTTCAAAGAATTCCGCTACCTCATCAGTAGGATAGATAGTCAGCCATAATGACATTCCAATACAAATGGCCAGATTAGCCATAAAAAAATCTGAAAAATAAATCAGTATCTTACGTTATCTTTACAGCTAGTATATTATTTAAAAATGATTTTGAATTATTGTTATACAAAACATGTACTGTAGATCACTTTAATTTTGCAACACCTTATTTTTACCCGATAGACATGTACTCTTTATCTTAATGGGACAAAATTTTCACTAATTTTGGTTACTGCTCTATATTATCTTTAGGAATACTAATGTTCAAAAGAATGATATTTTTACAAGCACATTGTCTCATGTAATTCATTTGCAACAAAATATAGTTCTTGCAAATAAATTATGATTTAATTCCTACTTACAGTTTGAGAATATGGTTTTTCGATAAGGTTTTCCCTTAGAGAACACTACTGCCAGAGTGATGTACTGATACATGGACACAACAAAAACCGCCATGTTCTCATAGCTGGTGTAGTCATCATCCTCATTTTTATGGTATTTAACAAACCTGTCATCAAATATAACAAATGCATTTAGAGTTTTCCTTAAGAAATGGCTATACTTGCCAATGAAAATGCAACTTTGAAATTTAAAAAAACATAGGTAATCAAAGATTACGAAGCTCACCTCAACTAATGTTATCAGTTTATGTAATGCAAATCTCACATCATATTTTCTTAACAGTTAATTTTATTCTAACAACAATATTCAAATAAGTTCTGTTTAAATAGGTCTTAAAGTTCATTGGGGGTTGACCTGTTCCAAAAACTTTAACCTTGTCACTTGTTTGGAAAATTGGGTCAGATCCAGTATATGAAGCAAGTTTTGATTGTCCATCCTTAGATGCATCATCCTTGCAAGTTTAGTCCAGGTGGGGCCTAAAGGTACTTGGGAATAACCTGGAAAATGTAGGTCAGATTCAGCATCCGAAGCAAGTCTGGTAGTGTCCATCCCTAGATGCATCATCCATGCAAGTTTAGTCCAGATGGGGCTTATAGTTACTTGGGAATGGACTTGCTCCAAAAACTTTAACCTGGTCACTCATCTGAAAAATGTAGGTCACATCCAGTATCCGAAACAAGTCTGGTAGTGTCCATCCCTAGATGCATCATCCATGCAAGTTTGGTCCAGTAGGGCTTAAAGTTATTTGGGAATAGACCTGCTTCAAAAACTTTAACTTGGTCACTCATCTGGAAAATGTAGGACACATCCAGCATCTGAAGCAAGTCTGGTAGTGTTTATCCCTAGATGTATCATCTATGCAAGTTTGGTCCAGGTAGAGCTTATAGTTACTTGGGAATGGACCTGCTCCAAAAACTTTAACCTGGTCACTCATCTGAATCAAAGGCCTGAAAGGCCTGCGAGTTGACTCGCTCGAGTCAATTGAGCTTTTTCATACATCTGGGCACCATACCTTAATATATTCAGTTTATTTTGCATCTTAAGAGATTGAATATTATATGTCTGATCCATGTTCGGTTTATAAATAAAGTGTATACTACTTTTCCTTTAAATATACAGGTTGGCACTAATGGGCTTCCGTATTATTTTGACTGGGTTCTATAATGAATTTCAGCACACTAGCTGAAGTGGTCAGTGTTACGGAATAATTAGGTTAAAGATTCCCACTGCAAATCTGGATTCTAAAAATAGATTTTCAACAACAACTAACTGCAGCTAATGAGAGCAGCAGGTGTTTAGGGAGTATTCTAAGTCAATTATAAATAAACTTCAGATGGGAAGATTAGATCCGCCTAACATGCTTGAACATATATTCATACGCAGTAATTGTACATCGTATAGGTATTTAATCAAAAATTTCTTTAAAAGCATGAAGGCATAAATAATGTTACAGTATGAAATTTTATACAGTTTTTACCTCTTAAGTTTATTCAATCACTCAAACCAAAGCATTTTTTGCTAGAACTATTATATTTGGCGTATGGATCACCTTGATGAATGCGTGAAAAAAATTACAGCTCTGAAACGGCTATGTCGACAGGGAGTAGCTCGCTACGCGAGCCAACTCAAAAATGTAGGTCACATCCAGCATCCGAAGCAAGTCTGGTAGTTTTTATCCCTAGATGCATCATCCATGCAAGTTTGGTCCAGGTAGGGCTTATAATTACTTGGGAATGGACCTGCCCTAAAAACTTGAACCTGGTCACTCATCTGGAAAATGTAGGTATCCGAAGCATCCGAAGCAAGTTTGGTAGTGTTTATCCCTAGATGCACCATCCATGCAAGTTTGGTCCAGGTAGAGCTTATAATTACATGGGAACAGACCTGCTCCTAAAACTTTAACCATTACGCCGACACTGACGCCGAGGGTATAGCATAAGCTCATCTCGACTTCGTCGAGGTGAGCTAAAAAATCAAAATTTAATTGTTGTAAGGTCCATAAAGATTTGTCTAAAACCTCAACTCAAATCCTGTCATTATTAATCTCTAACACTTTATTTTGAAATAAAAAGAAAACATGGCTTATTGGGAGAGATAAATACATCATGTACAAAAAGGAACAACAAGCCTAAAACAGACTACATCATAATTGTTGGTCTAAATACTGGTATTATTTTGTCCCAAGGAAAGAATTTTCTTTGCTTTTAATATAAATTTTATTGATATGAAAATTATACTACATTGGAAAAGAAAGAAGAAATTCTAAATACATTGTATTTAATGTATTGATAGATTTTCAAGATCACATTGTACACATAGGAACATACCATGGCTGTTCCATTACATGAAAATAGCAGAAGACCTGAGCAGCTGTTTGGACCACCATGTGGAGGATAATGGATAAAACAGGGGAGACACTAAACAGACTGACCAGGGGTGGATCCTTAGACAGCTGGTCATAGGCGTTAGTGTATCCAACTGGAAGATTACAAGGTAAACAGAATCAGGATACAAGTACTAATTCATATGTGTGTTTGGTATATCAGCATGCTTTACTGTAGAATTACTGCTATATAAATGACTTACATGTAACACTGAGGGATGTTAGCAGGAATAAATCTATATAAAGGAACTCAAAGTCCGTTAGGTTGGCAAATATCTGTCAAAAAAGATTTTAATGAAATCATGAATTAATTGATTCATATGATTCTCATGTCAGAGTAGGGTTTTCAAAAATAGGGCAGCAAGAGAATTTTATAACTGCTTCAATGATTGGAATTCACATCTTTGAACTGCAAAACTAGCAATCGACTGGAAACAAATAAATCTCAAATGATAAATTCACCTCCTTAATTGCTCAAAATTATAGAAAACCCTGCAATATAATGCTGATATCAATTAAAACATACATAAAATGATACATGGTCATGGACAGCAAACTCACCCAATAGAGAATTAACACTGAGACAAACTGAGTCAAACTGTAGCAGGCCATATACTTAAAGATCCCAAACGATGTCACCAATGCCCCTCTGCCCTGCCTAAAAGAAAACATCAGCAATAAATTATTTTCAAAGAACTTAAATCATAAACAAATCATTACCTATTAGGCTGATCCATATTAATCATTATTTAGGACATCATTGGTTGGTTTTCTTGGTCTTATCTGATATTTGGGGGAAACAATCAATATTAAGCTGTTTAGACATGATTATTATCTAAGAAAGTGTTTGGTTTGTTTTCTTGGTGTTGGTATACTGTAGATCACTTAATTTTCGCGACACCTTATTTTCGCGAGATAGTCATCGAGTCCTGATTAGCGAGACAAAATTTTCGCGAATTGTGGTTATTGCTCTTTATAATCTTAAGGAATACTATTATACGCGAGAATTAAATTTTCGCGAGCATACTGTCTCGCGTAATTACGCGAAAATAAAGTTCTCGCGAATAAAAAGTGATTTACAGTATATTAATATTAGGTTCATAGGATATGTTCTTTATTTAGGATAGTGTTTGGATGTTTTTCTTCGTCTTACCTGATGAGTGTGGGGGCTCATTCAATATTAGATTATTTAGGAATGATCTTTAATTAGGACAGTGTTTGGTTGGTTTTCTTGGTCTTACCTGATGAGCTTTGGTACACATTCAATATTGGGTTGTTTGGATGTGAAGGGAGATGCTACAGATGCCTCTGCCTCAGAGAGTGAGATACCAGCATGAGCTGTCTTCAGGGCTCCACAGTCATTAGCCCCATCCCCACACATACCCACAAAGTATCTGTCCATAGAGGAAAAGAGAGAGAAAAGTCATTAGCCCATCTATACACGTACCCATAAAGTACCTGTTCACGGAGAAAAAAAAAAGAGAGAGAGATTCATTATCCCCATCCCCATAAAGTACCTGTCCATAGAGGTCATGATATTAAAGGCATAGAAGCAATAACTTATTTGATGAAAAGTGCAATGTCAAGTTTTTTCCTCATTCTTAACAAGTGCCTCATTTATTTGTCATCTAAAATCTATGATTAAAAAAAAAATATCTACCCCAGTTCCTGTAGAACTTCAATCAGCTGAGATTTCTGGTCGGGCGACATTCTGGCAAACACTGTGCCTCTGGTGCAGATCTAATAAAGATATGTTCTACTGAGTGCCGCATTCAACACGTAACATGGCCAGATTTATTTAGATTTATTTCATCGAAAATAGCTAGAACATAGTCATCAAAATTAACATCCCAGACCTGTACATTATCCCCAGAGAACTTTTTTGTACAGAAATATGTACTGTAAAACTTGGTTACATGGAAGTAATTTGGACCTGAGAATTTTTTAAACCAATGTACGACTTACTTTTTGCAGAAGTAATGGAAAGTGATTTCTGACAATAGCCCATGATTTTCCATCCATAGCAAAGTGAAAGTGAGGATCAGTGAAATCTCCATTAGGCATGGTCAATCTTGTCTCCTGTAAGTAAAAAAAAATACTAAATTCATATATACACATTTATTACATACAGTGCATTACCCTATATTTCAGGAGTACACATACAGAATTACTGGTATCACACTATACATTCTGACATGTAAAACATCTTTGATTACTTCAAGTATATAAAGTATGCACCCAAAAAGTACACCACCAAAATGAGTGCCAAAATTGAAAACTTGGAAATACATATAAGGACATGTATATAATGTACATTAAATTGGTTCTACAACTTGTTATTCAAGTACCATGATCAGGGCCACAGATTTGCACTCATTTTCTTAACCAAACTTTATATTGTACTTTACTAAAGAGAGCTCTGCAGATTGTCTGAAAATAAAATTGGATATATGGAACACATGGAATGTTTTTTTAAGGACATTTAAAAAATAACTTTCAGGACTTGGCTATACATGTACATTGTACTGTACAGGTAACTTTAACTCGAGTAAAAGTGACACTCACTGTAGATTTCCCCTGACTGTGGTCCTCAGGATCCTCGGTGTACATGTACTCCAGCCAGGGGTCATTTTTACCGGGCATCCCAGGAAACGCTTGGACTAAAATGATTTTCTGATGTTCACTGACCATTCCACATTCTCGGGCCACACTCAAGGCTGTCAACATGTTGTCACCTGAGAGAGACAAAAATATATTATTTGATTCTTGTTAAATATAATAGCAGTATGAATATTGCTTGTAGAATTCTTGTAAAAAAAACAAAAAAAACAACAACAAAAACAGGTTATTCCAATGCCTTTTAATATTAAACAACATTTTAAGGAGAATTCTATGTGCTATGTACCTGTGACCATGACAGTCCTGATGTCAGCATCTAAGAGTTTGTGTATGATAGGGGTGGTTTCTGGCTTCAGTCGATTCTCCAGCACCAGGAATCCCAGGAAAGTCAGATTTCTTTCCACTTGCTCTCTGAGATTTTAGAATCAATTAACACTAATTATCCAAGTAAATTCATTGTAGTGTCAGGTATATGTGTCAAATAAGGATTTTTGCTCTGGTAACATTTTTTCAACATCTTTTGGAATACATACCTCTGAATTCTCTGTATCTTTGCATACTTTAATTTTGTTGGAAGGGATCTGTATGCAAGGGCAAGAACTCTGTAACCATGTTTCGTGTAATTGATTAAGAACTTGTGAAAATTGCCTGGCACTGAAAATAAAATTGTAATGTGAATTTAACATTCTTCCCAATTCTGATTGTTCTAATTGAATTCAATAAGAATTAAATTTTACCTGATTCGGGTTTAGACAGGGAAGCAATCATTTCTGGGGCCCCTTTTGTGTAGAGTTCAAAGTTCGGGGCTCCTAATTTCCGTGTTATGACAGACATTCTCTGTAGACTGGAGGCAAAAGTAAACTGCCTCATGATGGCTATCTCCTCATATTTTGGCTACAAAAATGAAATTTCAAAGTTATATTTTAATTGCATCCTTTTTTAGAGGAGGTCAATAAACTAAATTACTTCCAGCAGTTCATTTTGCATGTTATTGAATGGGCTTTGAGGACTAATTAATCCAGATGAATGAACATTTGTGCTGAGCCTGCAGTTATTCCTGAACTGAAATATTCCCCTGAACCTTCATTAAGATGTCAGACAGGCATTCTTTTTAGCCTGAACATGGCCCTGTTTGTTCTAAACACATCATACATTGAAATGTTAATTCATCAAACAGTCCTTGGATTGACATAACTACTAATATCCTGTTTAACCTAGCTTGCCTTATACTGTGTGCTGAAGAGCATACTGTCATCTACAGATTTAGCTTCCTTTGGTCTGACTACTGTGATAAAAAAATCTGCAAGAACTTGCAGCTATCCATTTAATAGAGAGCTCATTTTATTCCCTTGAATTAACATCATTTTTTCAACTGTGCACAATATATGTTTCATGTAATTGATTAAGAACTTGTGAACATTGCTTGGCACTGAAAATAAAATTGTGATGTGAATTAAAGGTTTACATTAAGGTTCATTGACCCCCAGATAAGAGAGGTAACTCTTACCAAGACTAAATCAGAACTTACCTTGACCGGTTCAATAAAGAGTTTCTTGTTGTTCATGGAGTTAACTCCCTTTGATCTGATTATGCTGGAGAGGATCAATAATATCTTACCTAAAGCAATCTTTGTTGTTCCTTGAGTTATCTCCCTTTGGACTGACTATGATAGGATAAATGTTGAGGATTGTACCTTGAAATATTTATCAAAGAGCTCAGTATCGTCCCTGAAATTATCTCCCTTTGGTCTCACTACAGTAGTATCAGATATAACCTTGAACTGTTCATCAAAGAGCTCCTTGTTGACCTTGACCCCCTTTGGTTAGACTATGGTGGGGACAATCATATCTAGCCTTGAACTGTTCATTAAAGAGCTCTTTGTTGACCTTGACCCCCTTTGGTCAGACTATGGTGAGGACAATCATATCTTACCTTGAACTGTTCATCAAAGAGCTCTTTGTTGACCTTGACCCCCTTTGGTCACATTATGGTGAGGACAATCATATCTTACCTTGAACTGTTCATCAAAGAGCTCTTTGTTGACCTTGACCCCCTTTGGTCACATTATGGTGAGGACAATCATATCTTACCTTGAACTGTTCATCAAAGAGCTCTATGTTGACCTTGACCCCCTTTGGTCAGACTATGGTGGGGACAATCATATCTTACCTTGAACTGTTCATCAAAGAGCTCCTGGTTGTCCTTGACCGCCTTGGGTCGGACTATGGTGGGGACAATCATATCATATCTACTAGCTTCCTCCTCTCCCGGCTCCTCTAGATTCTTTTAAGGCAATAAAAAAAACAGTTCATGACCTTTACTTTTTTCTTCTATTAAATACATGTAACGACAGTCCTCAAACAATGAATAATCCATAATTTTTTGTCATAGAATTGACATGGAAAAATGCAACTTATCTTAAAAACTGATAGAAAAGCTACTGTATTTATATCGATATTTAAAACTAGATGCTGTCATGAGACAGTAATACCCGCACTAAGGTGTTTGCCTCTAAATGCACACTCCTCTAAAATTAGGCTTTACCAAAGAAAAAGTCAATATAATTTAATAATTTACATAATAGGGCCTCCATGTATTCATCAAATTGAGCATAATATTCTCAAGTGAACATGTGACCCGTCACCATGGGCCTCGATCTTATAGGTACATGTATTTCATATTCATAATTCATTACCAGTCTGAAATTAAACAACAGAATTCAATTAATGATGTAAATTAGGTTTGAAACAAGGGGGGGGGGGTAAATTTTTGGCCCATAATTGGAACTTTTTAAATCTATTTTCTCATATAGATCAACAACAAATATTATTCAAATTAGTTTAAAGCGTTTTTGATGATTTTTTCCAAAATGTACAAACTTTTTTATACTTGATTAGGCAGAAACACCTTGAAAGCTGCCATATACCATTTATACCCAATCAATTAATCAACCCCTACCCTTCTCCCATCAACACACACACGCGCAAACACACCCTATTTTCCTGTTTTTGGAAATAGGCCTAGATGGCAAAGTTAAGATAAAACATCTTTTGTAAATAATAATTTTAAATTTGTTCTTATACTGTAAATGTATCTGAAGACCTGCATCACATTGGGCTTGCGTCACGTACCTAACTTAAGTACTAGTTTTACCATTATCATTTTTAGATAGCACTGCACGTGCAGTACTAGGCGTAGTGTTGTGTACACATCATTGCATGTATGTCAGTTGGAATTATTTTGTGTTTAATTGGATTATATTTCATGAAGTTGGAGCTATGGCAGTCGGTAAGTACACGTTTTGGTATAGATTTGGGTAAAATAGTCTGAAATGCAACTGGTTAGGTTAAAGTTTAAAGGATCAAAGGTCATCCGATGCTGCAATAAGACGAATTTCACATTCTAAAGAGTTATCGCCCGTTATCGACGTTACATTCAGTTACAAAATACAGAATTTTTTTCTGAGAGGGAAGGGGGACTTCCAGACCAGAATTTTCTGAGAAGCAAATAAAAGGAGAAGTTATGGTGGTGTCTGTTTTCTAGGGTGGAGGGCATCCAAAGTCTTTTTTATATTATAGTCCTGCAAATTCGGGGGGGGGGGGGGGATCTCAAGATACACTTCCAGTCCCTGTAAACAGTAATGGCAAATGATCATGTGACTCCTAAATAGTAGGAAACTTTTTCCATTTGACAATACATAATTTTGCGCTTTTTGTGTTATTATGTTATGTAAATTTAATGGTATAAAGGTTTTGAACCCCCTGGAGGTCATCCCCACTCTCCTAATGATTCTAACTGGAAATGTTCACAATATGACTGCATTAAATGAAATAAAAGTGCATCAATGATAAGATTGCTTGACATTTCATTCATCAACCTATCCTCCTAGAATAAGGAATGAAAATCATTCAAAGAGATGGACTGCATTAAAGTATTTGTATATAGGCTATTAACATATTTTTTTAAAAATGTAAAACAAGCAGTAGTTTGCATACATGTCATGAATATAAACAGGGGTCTGGGATGGGGTGAAGGGAAGGATCGAGTTCCTGTCTCTTTACGTCTTAATGGTTGAAAACTCCTAAAATGAATGTTGACCTCAAATCCGACTTGTCCTCATTATTTTTCAAGTGGGGGTGTCTCCATTTGAGTGAAAAATTCCTGAGAGGGATGTTTAACAACAAACAAACAATGAAATGACATAAAACACAATATTGATTTGCGTTAAGAAATATGCAGGGGATTTTTTCCATCATAAATCTTCTTCTCAAGAACAGCAAGGGCATTATTGTCCCCCGTTTTGGGGGAAAGGGAGGGAACATTATACACTTATTTAATGACTTCGAGGTAAACAGTCAAACTGTTGTCCCGAGGTAGTGGGGGAGACCTGGGAAACTGTTGCCCAAGGCCGAAGGCCAAGGGCAACAGTTTACCAGGTCTCCCCCACGTACTACTGAGGGACAACAGTTTGACTGTTTCACCGAGTAGTCATTGAATAAGTGTTTTATTACCTAACCTACTATATAATTAAGAGCCATTCTCTGTAATGACTTGAACTTTTATATAGGAGCTGTGGCACGCATAGTCTCAGAATTTCTCCAAACTATCTATGATAAAAGTCTTTGATATCCTAAACTGAAATCAGGCAAAAATCGGTTGCTATGTTTTATAGTTACCATGGCAGCATGTCTTAAAGTTCGAAAAATGGCATTTTTTAACATGTTTAGAGCCCCAGAGTTAACATTTGCGGCAAAGCAAACAATTGGCAATGACTGTTTCCAAAAGTTGAAGGTCAGATGTCTCAAATGCATGATAAACATGTCTAATAAATCAACTATTACATACGTTACTATGGTAACAAAGTATTTAAAAGTAAAAAAAATATTCATTGAATTTTATAAAGTCATACACGTAAAAATAAAAAGCAATTATAGGATGAAATGTGACCAAATAATAGAAAAAAGAGCCATGAAACATACACCAAAAACAAAATATGATATTTAATTTTGGTTGGCAATGGTTGCCAAGGTTTTTATACCACAGAGAGCCTTCAAAGTAACACTCTGTATGTTTCAATCGGATCCTATCTTTTAAAAAAGCACATATCCTCATAACTGATGATCAATTTTTGAAGATGTTGGTGTGCTCCTAGTTTTCCCATTTGAAAAAATTCAGTTTAGATTCTTTAAATAGAGCGTTGCTATGGAAATAAACAGAAAATATATGCTTAAAAACCTGAAAAATATTTTCTGTCCTTGGATACGTACCCTTAAATGTAGATTCCCAAAACTTTTATGATTGATATTTATTAACAGCTTACCTGACTTTTAATTTTGACTATCATCCAATCTCTAAGTGGATGCAAGAAGTTGGCACACAGGGTTTAATATTTATATAAAGTTCACAAAATCGAACATTCTCCCTTCTTGGTAACCATAGCAACAGTGTTGTTTTCTTCATCAAATTTTATCAATATATGATATTCAACTTTAGTTCTAACAGATAAGTATGATTCAAGCTGAGTCCTTTAATTTGTTTCTTGGTTATATGGCAATTTACTTCTTAATGCAGCGAAAAATAATTCACTTTTAAGCACTGGTACTTTGTTTCCATGGTAACACTGCAAAGTAGCAATTATACCCAATTTTTCTTATGTTTTTGGTGTTGTAAGGTCCTAAGGATGCATATTTGCCAGTCTTGAGTTTTCATGTTTTTCCTCAAGACAGTAGCATTAACCCAAACCTAGTTACTGGTTTTGCATGGTTACACTGTGTTACCATGGCAACCATAAAAGTTATAGATAGAAAAATATTGCTTATACTTATATACTTAAGGTCAAACATTTTCATTATTTTTCTTAAGTCGTTGATTGAGTTTGAGCATGTAACACATACCATTAGTGAATACGGAGTGTTTTTCAGCATATTTCAGCATTTTAAATGTATTCCAAATGTATCCTTGGATACCATTTACTTAGAGATATATTCTAAACAGTTTCTTTACAGTATAAGTGACATCAAGGTGTCATGTTTTTGTGAGAATGACTTGTTTGCTTTTTCTAGTTTTTATTAAGCCACATTCAAGATTTAAAGTGGTTGAAAATCTCGATTTTTCAAACTTTTCCGGCTGTTGCCATAGCAACCGAGACACATAGCAACGAAATTTTGTTTGATATTTATTTCTGGTGTCAAGTACTAAGCATGGGTGAAGTTTCATCAAAATCGGTGACCATGCGTGGCAACGAAGTTTAAGTGGTTACAGAGAATGGCTATTAATTAAATTGGAATAAAAACACACAAACAATCAATAAAAAGTTTTCACAATTGTTTATTCACATACTTGTCTATTAATTAGCTGAATACATAATATAAAGACTAAATTAATATTTTTATTTTAAAGTAATACTTAATAAATTTATTGTTTGTGTGTTTTGTTTAAATTTAATTCATTATAGAGCAGGTAAATAGTGATGTCGTGATCATCAAAACGCTTGAATATCACAATGACGCTTTAACCAGTCAAAAGTTCATTCTGTGGACCGGTCAACAGTTCACTGTTTCATGATCACGCAAAAACATAAAGTAAACCGTGAAACAGTTCAAAATGCCTAATTATAATTTAGATAGTAAGTTAGGTAATAATAAATCTTATTTGTCTGTCAGTCTGGCCATCTTTGACAGTATGTGCATCTGTCACAATAAATTTAACCTTGATCATAACTTTTGAATAATATGAGATAGGGCTTTTATATTTCACATGTACATTACCACAAAACTTTCTAAATGTACTATGATTTTTTAACCCAAGTGAGACCTTGACCTCAAAATTTTACCTACTTTCCAAAAAATAACATTTTAAATTAATCATTTTGAAAGAGAAAAGATATGGCATTTAAATTATACATGCATATTACATGTGAAAAGACTTTTCTAAATATATCATGACTTTTGACTTTCTGATCTTGACGTAGAAGTTTAACCTACTTTTCAAAAATATTATATTATATATTTATATATATATAACTTTTGATTGAAAAGAGATGGGTCTTTCATATTTGACATGTACTTTACCTGCAACAAAATATTTCGAGCATGCGATGATTTCCCCCCTTTGACCTAATTTTCATAAAGTGACATATGATAGGGATGCATATTTGATACACAATCTGCCATAAATTATGGCATCCCATTCACTTAAACACAGAAAGCAAAGGACCACAATTCTTTGAATTTGCATGTATAATCTTGATATGGAAACATCCTCATATAATGTATATTCAAGTTTTTTATGCTACGCCATGATTAGGAATACATGTATTAGTTTTTGTCATGTCAGTCCTCCACCCTTCCATCTGTCTTTCCATCGAGCTCAAGGAAATTACTTTCTAGATATTTTATCAAAGTTCATATGCTGATGCATATACTGATGTAAACTATCCAACTGTGGCAACATTTTTTATGCGCCCGGATCGATAGATCCCGGGCATATATTGTTTTTGTCCTGTCTGTTTGTCTGTTTATCTGTTTGTCTGTTGTCAACTTTAACTTTGGCCATAACTTTTGAACAATAAGAGATAGAGACTTCATATTTGGTATGCATACTCCACTATTAAAGTCCTTTCAAATGACATCAAGGTCAATGACCTTGTGACCTTGACTGTGACCTATATGCTAAAAATAGCTTTTTCCACTGTTTGTCATAACTTTTTAACCATAGGAGATAGGGACTTGATATTTGGTATGCATACTCCTCTAATAAAGCCCTTTCAGTTGACAACAAGGTCAATGATCTTGTGACCTTGACTGACTTATATGCTAAAAAAAGCTTTTTACACTTTTTGCCATAACTTTTGAACCATAGGAGGTAGGAACCTCATATTTGGGATGCATACTCCACTGATTAAGTTCTTTCAGATGACACCATGGTCAATGACCTTGTGACCTTGACCGTGACCTAGATGCTAAAAATAGCTTTTTACACTTTTTGCCATAACTTTTTTACCATAGGAGATAGGAACTTCATATTTAGGATGCATACTCCACTGATTAAATTCTTTCAAATGACACCATGGTCAATGACCTTGACTGTGACCTATATGCTAAAAATAGCTTTTTACACTTTTGGCCATAACTTTTAAACCATAGTAGATAGGGACTTCATATTTGGGATGCATACTCCACTGATTAAGTTCTTTCAAATGACACCACGACCAGTGACCTTGTGACCTTGACTGTGACCAATATGCTAAAAATAGATTTTTTGAACTTTGTTTCCGCCGGGCGCATAGTGTTTCACAAACACATCTTGTTTACCTTTACTTTCCTTTGACCTTTTCTTAACTTTTCTTAAAATTAGTGTTTAGCTTTATTTTAGAGAAACCATAATGATTCAAGTTGTGTAATGAAACTTCACATGATGATACATACTGATGTAAGCAATTAAAGCTTTACAATGCTTCACTCTTTTTTACCTTGACATTTCCTGTGATCTTGACCTCACTGTCTTAGACTAGATCAGTTTTGAATAAACAGTTCAAGATATATTAATCAAACTTCATATGCTAATACATACTGATGAGAGCTATTATTGCATTCACTTATTTTGACCTTGAATTTTCTTTTGACCTTGACCTCACTTTTTAAAATATGTGTTTATCTAAGTTTCAAATAAACCATTAATTATATTTTTATCAAAATTCATTTGATAATAGTAAATTCACACTGATGTAAGCTTTTCAGCTAGAACAACATTTTGACCACAACCTTTCCTTTGACTTCTCTTTTCTTAAAACAAAGTGTTAAGCTCACTTTTATTAAATCATTAAAGATATTTTTATCAAACATAATAAGCTAATATGTATTAGTGAGAGCTATTCAGCTGCATCAAAAACTTCATCTTGCACATTCCTGTGACCTTGACCTCCCTCCTCTTTAATATGTATTTTGCTTAGTTTTTAAGAAATAATTTAAGACATTTTTATGTTTAACATGCACTTATACATAATTTGATGAGAATTTATTATCTATATCCAATTTATTTATATTTTAGTTTCAATTCTGAAAAAAAAACTGTTTAAGATATTTTCATCAAACTTTATACACAAATACAAATTTTAGTTTTTAGTTTTTAGCTCACCTGAGCTGAAGGCTCAAGTGAGCTTTTCTGATCATATTTTGTCCGGCGTCCGTCTGTCTGTCTAGCTGTCTGTAAACTTTTCACATTTTCGACTTCTTCTCAAGAACCACTGGGCCATTTCAACCAAACTTGCCACAAAGCATCCTTGGGTGAAGGGGATTCAAGTTTTTTTTCAAATGAAGGGCCATGCCCTCATTCAAGGGGAGATAATTGGGAATTAATGAAAATTTGGTGGCATGTTTTAAAAATCTTCTTCTCAAGAACCACTATGCCAGGAAAGATGAAACTTATGGGTTAACATCCTCAGGTAGTGAATATTCAAATGTGTTCAAATCATGACCCCCGGGGGTAGGGCAGGGCCAAAATGGCCGACTAAAGTTTTATATAGAAATATATTGGAAAATTCTTTAAAAATCTTCTTCTCAAGAACCACTGTGCCAGGAAAGATGAAACTTATGGAGTAACATCCTCAGATAGTGTATATTCAAGTTTGTTCAAATCATGACCCCCGGGGGTAGGGCAGGGCCAAAATGGCTGATCAAAGTTTTACATAGAAATATATAGGAAAATTCTTTAAAAATCTTCTTCTCAAGAATGACAAATCCATAATTCATCAAATTTATATGGAAGCATCCTCAGGTAGTGAAGATTCAAGTTTGTTCAAATCATGACCCTGGGGGTAGGGCGGGGCCAAAAAGGCCGACCAAAGTTTTACATAGAAATTTATGGGAAAATTCTTTAAAAATCTTCTTCTCAAGAATGACAAATCCATAATTAATCATATTTATATGGAAGCATCTTCAGGTAGTGTAGATTCAAAAATTTGTACAAATCATGACCCCAGGGGGTAGGGCGGGGCCAAAATGGCCGACCAAAGTTTTACATAGAAATATATGGAGAATTCTTTGAAGAAAAGCAAATCCATGATTGATCATGGGATTACTTTTGGATTTTAACTTTTCAATTATAAACCAATTTCTACTTTTTCTTAGCTTCAGTACTCAGGTGAGCGATGTGGCCCATGGGCCTCTTGTTTAATGTACCATTAGTAATACACATCTGGCGGGACATTCATGTCCTATAGACATATTTCTAGTTTTTCAAATCATCACCTCAGGCTAGGGTCAGGCCACAATTAGGGATCAAAGTTTTATTTAGGAATAAAAGGAAACATATCTTTAAAGTTCTTCTTTCCAGGAACACCAAGAGCATGATTAATATGGAAATATTCTCAAGAGGTGTAGATTCAAGTTTGTACAAATCATGACCACCAGGGTTAGGGAGGTGCCATATTATTCCAGCCCCTTTTTGCCATCCATATGAAAATTCAAATTTTGAAACCATTTTACACATACACAAAACAAACCAATCATTTTCTAAATGATCATGGTTTAAAGCTATTGCAGCATAAGATATTAGGGAAGTTCTTGAAAGCAGGGTGATTAAACATGTCAAATATATGTAAAAAAAAAAATATATAAAAATTCTACCTCGATTTGATCCCCATCCCCCCCACCCCCCGGGCAAAATGAAAATTTCGAAACCTTACTGCACATCTACATGACACCACCAACCATCTCTTAAAATATGATAAGGCTGCTGAGTAAAATGTAGAAGGAGTTCAGGGAAGAAGGGGCTTTTTGTATAAAAAAACGTCATTTTTCGACCCACATTTGACCCCCCGGGGCAAAATCAAAATTCCTAAACCTTACTGCACATCTACATGACACCACCAACCATCTCTCAAAAGATGATTAGGCTGCTGAGTAAAATATAGAAGGAGTTCAGAGAAGAAGGGCTTTTTGTATAAAAAACGTCATTTTTCGACCCCCATTTGATCCCCCGGGGCAAAATCAAAATTCCCAAACCTTACTGCACATCTACATGACACCACCAACCATCTCTCAAAAGATGATTAGGCTGCTGAGTAAAATGTAGAAGGAGTTCAGGGAAGAAGGGGCTTTTTGTATAAAAAACGTCATTTTTCGACCCCCATTTGATCCCCCGGGGCAAAATCAAAATTCCTAAACCTTACTGCACATCTACATGACACCACCAACCATCTCTCAAAAGATGATTAGGCTGCTGAGTAAAATGTAGAAGGAGTTCAGGGAAGAAGGGGCTTTTTGTATAAAAAACGTCATTTTTCGACCCCCATTTGATCCCCCGGGGCAAAATCAAAATTCCTAAACCTTACTGCACATCTACATGACACCACCAACCATCTCTCAAAAGATGATTAGGCTGCTGAGTAAAATGTAGAAGGAGTTCAGGGAAGAAGGGGCTTTTTGTATAAAAAACGTCATTTTTCGACCCCCATTTGATCCCCCGCAGCAAAATCAAAATTCCTAAACCTTACTGCACATCTACATGACACCACCAACCATCTCTCAAAAGATGATTAGGCTGCTGAGTAAAATGTAGAAGGAGTTCAGGGAAGAAGGGGCTTTTTGTATAAAAAACGTCATTTTTCGACCCCCATTTGATCCCCCGGGGCAAAATCAAAATTCCGAAACCTTACTGCACATCTACATGACACCCCCAACCATCTCCCAAAGGATGATTAAGCTACTGTGAAAAATGTAGGAGGAGTTCAGGGAAGAAAAGTGTGACAGACGGACGGACGGACGGACGGACGGACGGACGGACGGACATGAGTAACAACAATATACCCGAACTTTCTTTCGAAAGTGCGGGTATAAATATACTCCATTCTTAAAATATCTTTAAGATTGAAGAACAGCTCTATATTATTGGTAATAAATCATGTTTCAGTCACATACCCAGTTTGTGGCCTCAAACATGATGAGATCTAAAGGATCCCCACTGAGGACCCCATCAATCATCGTCAGGGAATGACAGGTTGCCATGGCATTCAGAAGCAGGCTCTGTTTAGCTGGGAGGAGCTTTATATCATGGACCTCCTCGGTAAAACTGTACAACAGGGACAGTTTGAAATTGTACAGTTAAAGGTTATATCAAAGTCTAAATTATATCAGTATAAACACCATGGGATTAATTAAATTTGAGAGTTATAGTTATTAATGAGTTCAGATAATCTAAGTGAGTCTTGCTATTAAGAACTTTACATATATCTACAGATAATAGAAAAAACTCTCTGACTCTGACATTTGTCCTACCAGCCATCTTGTACTGGGACAACACTCTGCATGTTTAATCCATCCTCTGTCAGTGTGCCTGTCTGGAACCAAAACAGTAGATTTTAGCAAAGATAAATTATTTGATATTCATTCAATTTTCAGAGCTAAATTACCATTTAGGATACTGTAAAACCATGTTTTCATGGGGGCAAATTTTCATGGTTTGAGAAAAAAAAAACTGATATGTGGGGATTTGATTTTGTGGTTAGAGAAGTATTGAGTAGTACTGCTTATTAAATTTTATATTTAATGATGGTCATGAATTCATGGATTTCTCCATACCTCAAAAACAACGAAATTAAACCACCATGATCATAAGTGATATGACAGTATTTTGTCATGCAGAAAAATTATATTCTTCACAGAATCATGATTTAACAATTGCTCCCCTATAAATTCATCAAAGAATGGCATAACTACATTATCTAACCTTATCAAAGCATACAACATTGATGGTACCGCTGATGTTGATACTATGTGGGCTGATGCAGTAAATCTGACTTTTCTTGAGGCGACTCTGGGCAAACACAATCCCGATAGTAAGGGCAGCTGGCAGGGCCGGGGGTACAGCAATGGTGATCAAATCCATAGAACGAAGGAAGATATCTTCAAAGAGTTCAGAGTCTTGTACCTGGGATATTAATTGTAATTAATTTCTAATTAACTTTTGATTGACTTTCTGAAATAATTAAAAAAAACATTTTTCACAAGTGGAAGAAGATCATTTAGAAATGTCTAGTTATATGGATCCAGCCTTCTATTATATATCTTCATATCGTTTGGTGCCTTCTTAATTGATTTTTAAATTTTTCTACCCCTGTCAAATGTCAATAATACTGTACCATCAACACTACTGTGTAAATGAATCCGATTCCAGCAATTCCTGCTAGTATGGCCACAAATATGTATGTGTCCCTGTTGAATTTAAAATC